TTTATAATTAAACTTAGCTTGCCACAATTATTGAACCAAATATATCACAGTATTCCTTACACCAAAAAATTCTTACTTATCATTCTTACAATGGCTTAAGAAAAGTTTTTAGCCAGGAGAAATAAACTACATCCAATTTCAAAATTTAATTATGTAATCCCAACTCAACATAAATAAACAGTATTTGGAACTAGTATAGTAGGTCCTCCATTTTCTAGTTTCAGTGCTTGTATTCGATTTTTTATGGATTTGATCAAATTATCAACAATTGTCTGAGCCATATTTTGCCACTTCTTTAACAATGTTACTTCAAGGGTTGCCACTGATGTCATTTTGGTTGCACGCTCTCGAAGTTTTGGATCAAGGTGATCTCAAACGTACTCTATTGGTTTCATGTCAGGACTTTGGGCTATCCATGACAGTGACCTGATTCTTTGCGATTACTTCCAGGCATTTGCTACTTTGCTCGTGAGACATGGCACTCCATCTTCTTGAAAAAAGTAGACATGTTTCTCAATCTAATTGGTTTCAAATAGCGGGAATAGTCCATTCTTTAATATTTGACAATATTTGGACCATTCAACCACTTGTCAACAAGAATCAGCTCAGATTGCTCTCCAAATTAGACAGCGTCCCACACCATTACTCCAATCCCTCCATGTTTCACGTTCACCTGCAGACACCCTCAGTGTTCCAAGTTTCATTCTGATTTCTTCAAATATAAATCTGTCTCGAATTCGAACTTTGGCAAAATTTATTTTCATTTGAACAAATTACAGACTGCCAAATTTCATAATCTTTATTCTCGAATTCTCTCGCCCAGTCCATACGCCTGTTCCTGTTAACCTCTGAAATCAAGGGCTTCTTTCTTGTAACTCTTCTTTGATAGCCTAGCTCTTTCAGAGTCTTTCTAACCGTATATGGCGATATTTCCATGCTTTTGCCGACATCTTTAATGCTCTGACGACGGTTTCTGATGACTTCCCTCTTCATCACAATTTTTGTTCGCTCAGACACGATGCTTGGTCTTCTTGAACATTGTTCATACAACAATAGTCTTCTTCATTAAATTTCTTGACAATATTAATAACTGTTTGATGATTAACTTGGAAAAAGCTAGCAATTTCTCTATTTGCCTTGCCACACTGATGCCATCCTAATATTTGCCCTTGTTGAAATTCACCAATTTCCTTGCTTCCGCGAACTTTTATTGCAAAATATAAGTCAACTATCGTTAATAGATGAGAGTAGTTTGATACTAACACGGTATTGCCTGAAAAAAAGAATAGACATTATTACACAAGCCAAAATTGCGGTAATCTAGGTGGCTAAAAACATATCATAGCCCACTGTCCTACAGCCACCATGATAATTCAAAGGCTCTATGAAGTTCTAACTAGTCCCCACATATGTACGATATTTTTGCCTGTCGGAGGAAGAAGGAATAAAAACAATTTGAAAATCTGTGCCAAATAGGAAAATTCCTCAGAACAATTACCATGAAAATATTAATAGAAAATGCAGAGAAGCTACGTTACGGTTATGGGAAAGTGACTGAATCCGAGATGCCAGGACAGGTCAGATTACATTGCAGATTCTGTTTCACGATGTAGCTTTTCGCAGGATCTTTCTGAATGAAACTTACGTCCTACCAGTGAAATACAAAGGGAATGAGGATTATTCAACCTCGTGTATGCGACAAAGGTGTGTCCTTGCTGTAAAGGCCTGAAATAGAGCAAAACAAGGTATGTAACTCGTCTGATCATTTGCCATGGAAATAGCGATAGAGTAATGATAGGGTTCGATGTTTCATTTGTGGAGACAAAGGGCCTTGCAAGCGGGGGAAAAGACCATCGCCCACAAGGCCTTTTAAACGTGTGCAGCGAACAAAGTAAGTTTCAACGTTGAATGTCGGTGCGCATAGGTGCAAAGGGTTACCATGGCCCCAAAGAAGGGTAGAGCGCTTCCCTCCCAAGATAGGTACAGAACTTCCGGCGGACAACGTCTAAAAATAGGCACCTTTAATCCTCATAACAACATGACAGAAACACAAACAATATTTGGCCATCCGCCCAAATATTTGTTTCAAAGTTTTCCACGAGAAAAATTTAAAATGATAACAGAATAAAGTTTTATTATTTCAGGTTTGGCTGCCTAAGATGACGGAACAGGGATATTCTTCACGCACACTGAGCAAGATATATATATATATATATATATATATATATATATATATGAAGAAATATAGTCTTAAGATGTGCTATATTTATGGGATAAAGTGCTCAATATCAAAGATAGAGCGTGTGTAAATATAAAAGTGAACATAGAAGTCAACACTTAGAGGTGACAGTCTGTTTTACGCTAGATGCAATCGTCAGACCACGAGTGCTGTTATTTCCTCGGCTATTTATATATACGGGTCAGTGGTGCATTGTGGGTAGTCTATTTTGGCGGTTATTTTACCGGAAGTCGTTTATTTGTTTATTTATTTATTTGGGTTAAATTATTTTGATTGATTTATTTATTTTTATTTTTTATTTTATTTTTTTTTTATTTTTTTTTTTATTTTATATATTATATTTATTTATTTATTATTTTTATTTTAATCGGTGTTTTTATTAACGTAGAAAAAATTGTTTATATCGCGTATTTAATAGTTTTGTTTTGGTTTGGGAAGATAAAGCTATTTATTCAATTTTGAGGTTGATTGTTGTAGTTTATTCTAACTATTATTTTATTTTGGCGGGATATATATATATATATATATATATATATATATATATATATATATATATATATGAAGGAGGCGTCTAGCATGAAAGTCTGTCGTCTCTGAGTGTTGACTTCAATGTTCACTTTTACATTTATATACTACTTAGTGGATACTCGTATTTGAGTAGACGCCCCGTTTATTTATCGAACAGTACATTTATTTATTTTCCTCTTCCGGTCTGAATATTCCAGAAATCTCAAAGAAAAATATGCGTTCTCCGGCAGAAGTCAAACCTGAGGGAAAACCGTCAGGAGATCTGACGTGCTTTTGACATCTAGGCTACGATGTGCGTCGATGACCAAGCAAAATTGAATTTTGGCTTTAAACGCAGATCTTTATTTTCTCAGCTTCATATCCTAACGTAAACAAAGCAATTCCTAAAAAAAAAAATGGATATTTTATTTATTATTCCGACAGACTGTTATTACTTAAAAGTTATATTTAGTGGATATTCGTATTTGAGTAGAAACTCCGTTTATTTATTTATTTTCGTCTGCCGGCCTGAATATTGCAAAAATCGTATTAGAAAAAAATATGCGCTCTCCGGCAGGATTCGAACCTAGGTTTTCCTAGGTGAAACCGTCATTAGACCTGATGTGCGTTGGACGTCTCGGCTACAGAAATATGCAATCCGTTTTTAGGCCATTGCATTACGCCTACATTACTCCATGTTTTATATTCGCGCACATATGAGCATCTGCACCAAGAAAATGCCGACTTGAGTTCGCAGTGCATTTTTAAATCTAATATTGCCTCAATTTTTACCAATAAGAACATATTTCTTCAGGTCGAGAGTACTTCCAGGGATTACTTGTAAATATTTTGCCAACTATAAACACATGTTAGAAACGTTATATTACATCACCAACCTTTATTAAGTCCATTCTTGAAGAATCTAATGCATTTTTATCTAAAACAAATGGTGAGTACGTAAAAGACATTCCCAAATCAACTTTCGAAATACCAACAAACATAATGTCTATTACTCACACGTACAAACACACAGACACACACACACGCGCGTGCACACTCTTAAAATTACACATTACCATCTAAATCTCACATAAATAAATTAGAATTACGTACTTACATACACAAAGTAATATTAACAGTTTCTCAATCAGGCTTGGAATCCGTTTATTTCTTGTAACTTCGAAAGGACGCGTTGTCTCTCCTTGAATTCGGGACCCGATAAATTATACTAAAGCTTGTTTAGCAAGTCATATACACATGGAACCTGATTAAACAATCAATACAGATTCCGATCTATATTTGATCTATATTTGATTCCATTTCTATCTATCTATCTATCTCTCATTCATATATATATATATATATATAGCTAAATCGATCCCACCGTCCACACATGAGGTATTGTAGATCGTGGTAATTAAATTACAATATCTCCCCACCGTTTTTTTCATTAGAATTTGAGTGAAAAGAAAGTATATACTGAGCTCATTTAGTAAATTCAGTACATTTTAAAATACGTTTAAGGGGGATCATCTTGTACGGCGAATATAGATCGAAACCTACATTTTAACTTGAAAATTTTGGGAGATCGTCTTATACGCCCTGTCGTCTTGCGCGCCGGCATGTACGGTACTGATTATTTTATTATAGTTCTAATTCTACCTGAGGCGGTCGCATTTTCTTTACGACAAATATCTTAGGAAAGGTATGAATCCATCTCTTACATACCCCATGTAGGTAGAGATTAATAGCAGACCAGACTGGGCACGCTAGATTTGATGGCAAACCAGTTTAAGAGAACGAAAACACGGAATTCAAATAACAATATATATATATATATATATATATATATATATATATATATTATATATTGTCATACACAGACAGAATGTTTCGCTATATCACAGCTCATCAGTGGGGCTAGACGTTCTGTTGCCTCTAGCTAGAATCAGAAACCCGACTGAATTGGCATCAGTCGGGGATTCTACCACTAAACCGTTGGCGCACGGTCGGGATGAAGGCGAATTTAAGCGTATTTATTTTTAGATAAACACACAGTGACTGCGAGAACTCGATTCGAATTACCGAAGAGTCATGCATTATTAGCCGTACTAGTCACTGTTTACAAACCCACACTACCTCCCCAGAGAACTCTACCGAAATAATTTTTTCATATATATATATATATAGAGAGAGAGAGAGAGACAGACAGACAGACAGACAGACAGAGAGTGAGAGGGGGAGAGAGGGAGAGTCAGGGACAGAAACAGAGACAGGCTGCGATATAATTAAATGATAGATAGATAGATAGATAGATAGATAGATAGATAGATAGATAGATAGAAGCACTTGAATACGCGTATGGGATTTTGTTTAGTGTACACATAAAAGAACGCATCTATATTTAATTAAGTCATAAATGCGTCAAATGTCACACAGAAGACGACGACGTCAACGTCCCTCATTGGAATGAACATATAAATCTGCTTAGCTACAACCATAGAGCCACTCGTTTCCATTGTAAGTTTGATATCAAAATAAACCAGTCGATGGTAAGTAAAAAAAAAAGACAATATGAATGATATTCGTTTTATTCAGAACCAAATTCCTGGCGCCTACTTCAAATGAATAAGCGCTTAGTCCAAACCGCAAATGTGCTTGTTGTTTTTGTTCATTCGTCATGTCTTTTACACCTTCTGATTTTATCTTTTTTAAATACTTTGCTGTGATCTACTAGCAGCCAAGTAATGCAAGAATTGCCGTATTTTATTACCGGCAAGGAAGTCAGTAACGCAAGAGGTAAGACCTGAGACAACAAAAGGATTAACTGACATTTGGCAATCGCAAAGATTAGAAAGTTATGGAAAAGAAAGACGAAAACTGGCCGCCATGATGGCAGCTCTAATCATTTGAGAAGAGAGCCAAAAATGCGTTATTTTAATCTATCGTGAGGAAGAGAATAATTACAAGGGGCGGAGAAAAGAAAACAGGAAAGAAGAGATTAAACTCGCTTTGTTTTATTTAAGTGATGACATATGACCACCAACAGTAACACGAAGGTCAAAGGTTAAACACATAAGAAAACTGTTCTTTTTCAATGCTTTGTTTTTAAATGGCGCAGAAACACAACAAAAAAGAAATGTATCAAATGGGTGCACAATAATAATGGCGCAAGTAAAATGGCACAGGTAGAAATGGAACGATATAAATGCCACAGGTAAAAATGGCACGGGTAAAAATGATACAAGTTGGAAAATAGGAATGTTATGCCGTACCTATGGACTATAATGCGTCTGTCTCAATCCTTATAAAGACAGTGGAATATACTGCAGTGCTTGCCAAACACTCTGCCTCTGACAAGGCTGAGCCAAAGGGCAGGGTCACGTTACGGGCTCTATGGGGAATTTTTGGCCGAGGCCACGGGCTCGAATACCCCACAATAAACTCGGCCTTGCGCCACATCCGACCGCGTGGGGCGGTAGGTGAATATCTTCACTGGGGTCTTCCACAGTGTGCTTGTCAAACTCTCTGCCTCTGTGTAGAGAGGAACCCAGACAAGGCTGAGCCAAAGGGCAGGGTCTCGTCTGGGGTGGTAGACAATTACCCGACCCCGTTTTTTACGGGGTCTACGGGGAATTTTTGTCCGAGCCTACGGGCTCGGATACTCTACAATAAACTCGGCCTTGTGCCACATCCGACCGCGTGGTTAGTGGTCTTCCACTTGGGATTCAACTTGATTCACTTCTAGCTTAACCCTAACAATTGATTACTTAATATACACCGCTGGCGAAACTTGTATGTTGCTAATGTTATAAAGATTAGCGTTCCATTTCCAACCTTTGTTTTGGTTATTCTTATTCAGTAACCTTTTCTAGGTTACAACAATGAAAAAAAAATGGCACAAATCAAGATTTCCAGCAGAGTTTTGGAATGTACATCAAGCTACCATTAATGACTGTCCCAGAACCAACAACCTATGTGAAGGGTGGAACAACAAATTCTACCATCTTGTTGGTTATCAGAAACCATCTATCTGAAAACTGATAAGAATGATTCAAAAGGAATAGGCTGTTGTGAATGCAGTGATAGCAAAGGACTTAGTTTAGTGAACCACCAAGACAGAAAACAAAGAAATATATATATTTATTTATAACAAAGACTCAAAAATGTATGCAGTGACTAGACAGAAGGAAGGAAAGACTTCGATCAGGTGTTAAGTGGATTTGCTCACAACATAAGAATCTAGTTTAATTTTTTTGCTTTTAAAAGGAAATTTTTTAAAAATTTCTTTCTTTTTTATGTACCATGTCCTTTCAGGAGACGTAGGCGATCATGGCTCTCCACCTCCCTCTATCCCTTGCAGCTCTCAACAAGTTCCTTCCCTCTGCTTCCTCCTCTAGACCATGTTCTGTCATCCACTTTCTTAAGCCCGCCAAATATGTCACGCGTTGTTTTCCCTTGTCTCTCTTTCCCTCTATTCGACCTGTGAGCATCAGATTCTCCATGCTCTCCTTCCTCATTATGCGTCCCAGAAACTTTAGCTGCCTCTTCCTGATATTAAGTATAAGATTCCTCCTTGTCTGCATCCTCTCTAAGACCACATCGTTGCTCACACGCTCGGTCCATGATATCCTTAGCATCCTTCTGTAGAACTTTTTAATTTACTAAATAGATAACATGTGCATTTCATTCTTTTTTCTGTACGTTTTTGCTTCGTGTCATTAAAACCTCATCAGAAGAATGAGATGGAATGCTTACTTTTTCTTCATGACGAGGACCATTTGTATGAACATAAAAATTATGGTTTTAAAAGTTTAAAGACAGAACCAATAATTAAGGAATTGTCTGGTTTTGAAAATGACCTACTGGAAATCGCCAAAGGATTAACCTTCCATAAATATAAAAAATCTTTTCAAAAAAATCTTGATGTTATTGTCAAGGATATTAATAAATCCGGTGATATTTATGTCAAATCCGATAAAACGGCTAACTTTTATAAGTTATCCCCTAAGGACTATGATACCTTAGTTAAAAATAGTCTGACCAAAAGCTACAAGAAAATTGACACTAATAATTATAACCAGATAGATAGGATTAACTGTGTCAGTAAATCCATTACTGACAAACTACGGATAAGTGATCGGGTCAGTAAACTACAAACAAAGGAAGCTTATGTTTTGTTAAAAGACCATAAACCCGATTTCAGATCTAAGCCAGCAACTAGGCTTAGTAACCCTACTAGGACAGAAATCGGTAGAATCAGTAAATCGATCTTGGAAAGAACCAACCACTCCATAAAAAACACACTTGGACTCTTGCGGTGGATTAACACAACTGATGTTATCAACTGGTTTACTAACATCCAATATAAGGACATCTGCACTTTTATACAGTTCGACATTATTGACTATTATCGCCTCCATATCTAAAGATCTGTTCACTTTGGCTTTGGAGTTCGCTCGAGAATACTCCAATATTTCTGAGAGTGACGTCGATATAATCATGAAATACCGAAATTCTGTTCTGGTCTAAAATGAAGAACAGTGGACCAGCCTTGTAGCGATAATTTTGGCATTTCAATGGGTTCTTTGTATTCTGCAGAAGCCTCTGACTTGGCTGGATTATTTCTTTTATACAATTTAAGTGCCTTTGAATGTCTAGATTCTGATAGTGTAGGATTATATAGAGATGATGGCTTATTAGTTCTTATAAACTCTACTAAAATTAAGGTAGGCCATATTAGGAAAATGATCCATAGGGAATTTAAGGATTAAGGTCTTAGGACTATAGTTACATCTAACATTAAACAAGTAGATTTTCTGGGCGTCACCCAAGACCTTACTCGCAACAGTTTCCAACCTTATGTGAAGGTTAATTCCAACCTAGTATATGTGCATCCTAATTCCAAACACCTCCACTTCGGTTATCAAGCACATAACCTCCTCCCTTGGATTTAGGATTAGTACTAAAAGAGGTTTTTAATAAACATCGTGATTTTTACAATTTTGCCCTTAAAATAATGGATACAAGGGTACCACTATTCAATATAGAAACCCTGTTAATAATAACCATGATAAGAAAAGAAGGTCTAGAAAGATCATTTGGTTTACTCCCCCTTTCAATATAATGGTTAAAACTAAATTAGGACGTATATTTCGAAACCTCATGAAGAAACATTTCCCCGACCCCCGAAACTAACCCACCTAGTAAAATATTAAATCCTATTACCCTTAAATTAAGCTATAGTTGGGCGGATAACCTAGAGAAAATAATTAAAAAACATAACAACAGATTCCTTAACAAGTATAGGGACTCAAAAAAAACTCGACTAATCACCACGTTGCAAGCAGTACTACTAAATATAATGACACGAATAACAAACTGTGCAATTGTAGGAATGCAAATAATTGCCCACTACAGAATAATTGTTTGACTAGTTCTGTAATTTATCTTAGTACAATCTCTACACTAGAAAACCCAAATATCAAAAAAATTTTACATTGTTATCACCATGAATTCGTTCAAGGAACGTTGGCGGGGGAATATGCAATCTTTTAATAACAGTAATTATAAGCACAAGACTTCATTATCCAAGTATTTTTGGAATCTAAAAGAAAAGAATAAAACACCTACTATTAAATGGAAATTAATAAAGAGAGCCCGAACATGTAACTCCCTATATGCCCATTGTTATATATGTCTTAACGAAAAATTTGCAATAATTAAATTTAAAAATAAGAACCATCTTTTAAATCAAAGATATGAACTAACCGTTAACTGTAAACACCGCTATAAATTTAACTTACTATAGGGGTAGTCATACTTTCAACGATAATGATACGTCACTGTAAGTTTGGTAAGTTATTACTTTTATTACCTGATGGTCCTCCTGTTGCTGTGGGTGTGTGTTGGGGTAAGTGTACTGTGTTGTTCGTGTCTGCATGTGTGTGTGTATGTGTGTGTGTTATTACTAATAGATGTATATATATATGTATACGTAGGTTTTTTTTTTAAAAAAAAGAAAGAAAGGTAAAAAGGAGGAGAAAAGAGAGGGAATATATATATATATATATATATATATATATATATATATATATATATCCGAGTGTGTGTGTATGCATATATTTCTATTTGCGTGTAATTATGTATGATTGTATATGTTTATGTGTATATATATGGGGTATATATATATATATATATATATATATATATATATATATATATATATATATATATATATATATATATATATATATATATATATATATATATATATATATATATATATATGTATATACGAATATATCTGTACTTATAGTTATATATATATATGTGTGTGTGTGTGTGT